TGCTGCTTTCAGCCTTAACTGTTTATTTTAGAAGGTGGGACATAACAGTAAAATATATTCATTAATCAAAGGGATTAATAAAAATGTTCTCTTTGGGTAATTTTACACAAAGAGATACAGATATGAATTTTCACCCAAATATAAATTCTTGAATATAAGTGGTTAATGTATAAATGTATTTAAGATGTTTCTAGTACTCCATATCTATACAGTTTGTAGTTTATTTTCTATTAATTAGCATATGGCATCGTATGCAATTAAAAGATTAAACAAGTAAGCTTAATCCAGTTTATCTATACAAAATATATTTATTCCGATTGTAAAAAAAAAACTTGGCCAAAATTCACTTTACAATGTACAATACAATTCTGTATTGCTATTGTTTGCCCGCAGGTTGGAATGTTCTTTCTTATGGCAAGCTTGAATTTGTATTTTCATATCCCCATTCTGAAGAATTGGGTAATATGTAAATATTTCTGTAAAATCTCTCACTGGGTTCTTGTTTGTCCCTCCAATACAAGTTTATTGTGGGTAGACCCACAATATTTCTCATATCAAATATCAAATATCAACTCCTGCATAGTGCACTATTTGAATATCGACTTACAAGTGGATATACATATTCTGTGGGCAAAAGAATATTGGTAAAAAGTACATATGCAGGAAGGGGGAGGACACAGAAGAATTACACAGGGCAGGTAATGTTTCTTCTCTGCTCATCAATCCCATGAATAACACAGGATTAATAAATATTTTGCCTGGAAGCACTATAATATCTTTGCAAAAGGTTGGAATAGTTCAAATGAATGTTTGGATGACTGATCACATGACTATCAATTGTATTTAATAAACAAAAGGCATACTTTATTATTTATTTGTTTGCTGTCCATTTTGCTACATGGCCACACTTGTTTTCTAGTTATACTGAATATAAGTACCCCTTGATAAAGAGAACTGTGTGCAATATGAGAATAAACATAAGAAAAAAACCCTTAGGAGGATGACATACCTGAACGGCCAGGTTTACCAGTTATATTGTTGGGTGGTAAAGGTTTTCTTCGTATTGGTGTAGGTCTGGCAGGAGCTAAAGGAGGTCGTGGAGAACCAGGTAGTGTAGCTATTGTATAATGTTACAAGACACCACTGTTAATGGAGGAACCACACATCATGTAATTTCAGTCAGTCAATTCTCTCTGTCTCTGTCTCTGTCTCTGTCTCTGTCTCTCTGTCTCTCTCTCTCTCTCTCTCTCTCACACACACACACACACCTCATCTCTTTCACACATCTCTCTCTCATTTCTCTCTGTCTCATCTATCTATCATCTATCATCTATCTATCTATCTATCTATCTATCTATCTATCTATCTATCTATCTATCTATCTATCTATCTATC